ATGTTCTTCTCCCCTCCCCTCTTCCCTCCCCCGTTCCCCTCCTTCCTCCCCCCCCTCCCCTCCCCCGTTTCCCCCTCCCCCATTCGCCTTCCCCCATTCGCCCTCGCCCATTCGCCCTCCCCCATTCCCCCTCCCCCATCCCCCCTCCCCCATTCGCCCTCCCCCATTCCCCCTCCCCCATTCCCCCTCCCCCATTCCCCCTCCCCCATTCGCCCTCCCCCATTCACCCTCCCCCATGCGCCCTCCCCCATGCGCCCTCCCCCATGCCCCGGGCAGGCTCTCCGTCCCCCTTTCGACGGCATTCTCAGCAGCAACAGCACCATCAACCCGCCTTTCTACAACTGGAACCTCGTTCGTCTCATCTACTGCGACGGTGGCGGCTACTCGGGCACGGCAGGGCGCCTGGAGGTTGGGACCAATGGCACTGCGATTTACCTGGATGGCTGGAACATCGTTCAAGCGGTGATAGAGGGTGAGTGAGTGGGGAAGGGAAGGAACCTTGTTTGCCCTGTATGGTCAGATGGTTTTGACTTTTGAGGCGCCTCAAGAGTGGGGAAGGAACCTCGTTAGCCTTGTACGGTCAGGTGGTTTTGGAGTCCACTACTTTTGAGACGTCTCAAAAGTCCTTGTATGGTCAGGTGGTTTTGGAGTGAGTGGTTATGAGGTGTGAAGGTGGCAGAATGAAAAATCTCCTCACTTCGTAACCTCCTTCCTCCTCCCTCTCCCATCCCCCACCCCCCTCCCTGTTTCTCCTGTTCCCACTTGAACCCTAAACCCTTGAACATCCGCCCAAAACGCAATTAGATCTGAAATCCACGTGGGGAATAAAATCGCATCACTGCCGCCTTCCCCTGGGTGGCAACCAAATGCATCTCCGACTCGGGCTTCTTTATCGACGAGCCTGTTGTTTTCACTGCCGGGTTTATTAGTACTACTATTACTAATATTTGTATTTTTATTACTACAAATACCACTTCTTACTCTTTTTAGTACAGCTACTGCTATTATTGCTAATATCACATTTTTTCCTGTACAGTGTTTGCAAATCTACTGCAACAAAGAGCATCCATTCAACTCACCCGTTTCAACTCCAAGGACCAAGTGGGCGGGGTCACGTGGCGCAACGGTGTGCAATGATTCTCTTCCCCCTCCCCCCTTTTCCCTTCCCACCTGCTCGCCCTCCCCCGCACTTCCCTTCCCTGTCAGACTCAAAGGACCGCGTTGGGGGATGACTTATGAGTCGACTAAAAAAGAGTCACACTTGGACTTCAATCGGTGCAACAGTGTCAAGAGCATTGTTGGTTTGACTTTTGAGAATTCTCAAAAGTCAAATCGACTTGTGAGTCGACTCAAAAGTAGTCACACTTGGACATCAGGGGGCACATGATAGAAGAGATTTTTTGAGACGTCTCAAAACATCAGGGGGCACATGATAGAAGAGATTTTTTGAGACGTCTCAAAACATCAGGGGGCACATGATAGAAGAGATTTTTTGAGACGTCTCAAAACATCAGGGGGCACATGATAGAAGAGATTTTTTGAGACGTCTCAAAACATCAGGGGGCACATGATAGAAGAGATTTTTTGAGACGTCTCAAAACATCACGGGGCACATGAAAGAAGAGATTTTTTGAGACGTCTCAAAACATCACGGGGCACATGATAGAAGAGATTTTTTGAGACGTCTCGAAACATCACGGGGCACATGGTAGAAGAGATTTTTTTAGACGTCTCAAAACATCAGGGGGCACATGATAGAAGAGATTTTTTGAGACGTCTCAAAACATCACAGGGCACATGATAGAAGAGATTTTTTGAGAAGTCTCAAAACATCACGGGGCACATGATAGAAGAGATTTTTTGAGACGTCTCGAAACATCTGGGGGCACAACAGTGTGAAGAGCACTGTTACTCAGCACAAGCCGAGAACACCTTTCCTCTTTTCCCCGTGTGGTGGGCTGGTACTTGTGGCGCGTGCTCATGGCGTGTGCTTGTGGCGCGTGCTTGTGGCGCAACGGTGCAACGGTGTGAAGAGCAATATTGCTCTGCAGAGTCTGCACAAGTCAAGAACACCTTTCCTTCTTTCGCCCTCCCCCATCCTTTTCAGACTCCAAGGACCGAGTGGGTGGCTACGCATAGCGCAACAGTGTGAGGAGCATTATTGATCTGCGCTAGCCGAGAAGACTTTTCCTCTTTTCCCCTTCCCCCCCTTGTCAAAATTAGAAGGAAGAAAGAGGATTGAACTAGCAAGAATGAGGATACAAATAGCAAACCCTAGAAGGGTTGTACTCGCTATAGAGCACCCCACTACAGGCTAGAACAATAAGATAATATTCTGACACACCCCCATAGCCAAAGTGGGGTGTAATCAGCAGAGCAGGCAAAGCAAAACAAGCTCAGGGTGGATCACAATGTCACCACACATTCTGAGCACAAGTTCAAGAAGAAATAGTTTAGAGTTCACAATTATAAGCAAAGCTAGTGGTAGTCACAACGGGCAAGTGAGGAGGAGGAGGGAGAGTGAGGGGAGAGGAGACAGGAGGCGACGGCTGAAGTTGCAGACACACGGGCAACAGGAGGCAGACTGGCACAGCGGCTACCGGACAGCGCCCGGACTACAGGAGTAACAGGCCCCGCGGCTCAAATAGCGGCGGACGGGCAACGGACCCACGGGCGGCTGGCACAGCTGGCTACGACTGGGCTACTGGGACAGCGCCCCGGACTACAGGTGCTGCTGACGACAAACTGGCAACCTCCGCTCATCCTCCCGCACACAGTCCCACCCCCCTGATACACACCCACTGCTACACCACTAGCTCTACTCCCACGCACCCCCCTTAAACCCTAAACCCAGTCTCCCACACAACCACCCCCCTCAGCGACAGCTGCAGCAGTGGGAGACGAAGGAGGAGGAGGAGAAAGGGAGGAAGGCACACCGACCACCCCCATACCCGCCACCCCACAGCTCGCGGCCCCCGAAGGAGCCGCGACGGGCGACGGGAAATGGCAGGGAGGGGGGGGGGGGGGGTGGCGGGGCCGTGACGGTCAGGGCGGGGCCGCGACAGGTAGGGCGGGGCCGCGAAGGTAGGGCGGGGCCGCAACGGTCGGGGCGGGGCCGCGACGTAGGGCGGGGCCGCTTCGAGGGGCGGGGCCGCGACACAGGGCGGGGCCGCGACGGTGGGCGGGGCCGCGACGAGGGGCGGGGCCGCGACGAGGGGCGGGGCCGCGACGGTCGGGCAGGGCCGCGACGTAGGGCGGGGCCGCAACGGTCGGGCAGGGCCGCTTCGAGGGGCGGGGCCGCGACACAAGGCGGGGCCGCGACGAGGGGCAGGGCCGCGACGTAGGGTGGGGCCGCGACGGTCGGGGAGGGCCGCGACGTAGGGCGGGGCCGCGACGTAGAGCAGACGCCCGCCGCGCGCCCCGGGGCGCACAGCGGGCAAAGAACCGCCGCGCGCCCCGGGGCGCACGGCGGGCAGAAAACCGCCGCGCGCCTCGGGGCGCACGGCGGGAAGGAAAACCGCCGCGCGCCTCTGGGCGCACGGCGGGAAGGAAAGGTAGCAGCGGAAGCGAGGTGGAAACCCACCCACAGGATCGATCCAATGGGATCGACCTGCTCTGATAGCATGTCAAAATTAGAAGGAAGAAAGAGGATTGAACTAGCAAGAATGAGGATACAAATAGCAAACCCTAGAAGGGTTATACTCGCTATAGAGCACCCCACTACAGGCTAGAACAATAAGATAATATTCTGACACCCCTGACTCTTCCCTCCCCTCCTGCTCCCAAACCCCCCACTACCCTTGCAGACTCTAAGGACCGAGTGGGTGGGTGAAGATGGCGCAACGGTGTGAAGAGCATTGCTGCTCTGCACGAGCCAAGAAAACCCTTGCTCTTTTCCCACTTCCCTTCTCTCCCCCTCCCTTCCCTCCCCCTGCTACCCTTTTAGACTTCAAGGATAGAGTGGGCGGGTACTCGTGGCGCAACGGCGTGAATGATTCTCTTCCTCCTTCCCTCCCCACCTGCTTCTCCCTCCCCCACTACCCTTTTAGACTCCAAGGACCGAGTGGGTGGCTACACGTGGTGCAGCGGTGTGAAGAGACTTTTGAGAATTCTCAAAAGTCACTCCAACATAGCTGGTGCAGCGGTGTGAAGAGTATTGCTGCTCTGCACAAGCCGAGACAACATTTCTGCCTTTCCCCTTCCCTCACTGACTCCTCCTCCTTGTCTCCCCCTTTCCCCCTCCTGTCCCTTCCCCTCTACCCCTGATTAGACTCCAAGGATAGAATGGGTGGGTACTCGTGGCGCAACGGTGTGAAGAACATTGCTGCTATGCACAAGCCGAGCTGGCCTCCTTGCCAAGACGGTGAGAGAGAGAGGGGGGGGGGAGGGGTTGTAGGGGGGAAGCTGGCAAAGAGGAGCATTGCTGCTCTGCACAAGCCCATCTGGCCTGATTGCCAAGACGGTGAGACGCGTGCATAGCAGTTACATGGTTACCACATGGCGCAACGCTGAGAAGAGCATTGTTGCTCTGCACAAGCTGAGCTGGCCGGTTTGCCAAGACGGTGAGATGCGAAAGGGGGAGAAGGGGGTAAAGACGGTGGGAGTGGGGAAAGAAATGAAGGGGGGGAAGGAGTCAAATGGGTTGAAGAATTGAAGAATTGAAGAATTGAAGAATTGTGAATTGTGGAGGAATCACTTGGCAGATTTGTGGCAATGCTGTGAAGATTCCTGCTGTCCCTTGTTTTCCCACGCCTCTTTATGCAACACCCAATCCTCTCCTCCTCCCTCTCTTCCCAACCCTTATTCCTCTTCCCCCCCCCAGCTCTACCAGAGGCCGACCAATGGAAGTGCTTCTTCCCACAGTACACTCTACAAGATGTTACAACCCCCGTATTATTTTTTCCACACTTTTTTCGACGTTATGGCCTCCCAGATTGGCGGGCGGCTACCGTGGAACAGAACATATGCATTGGCCTGCTTAGGTGAAGTTACAGTGATAAAGGATGTAACATGGATTATACAGAGAAAGGAGTGGAGCAAGATACAGTGGAAGACAAACTACTGTACAGCTGGGGAGCAAGATGCGTTGTTTGTTGCGGCGTCTGTTTTTACTGATGAGCTGGAAATCGCTTTAGGAGGGAATACTGTGGTTGCGTTTGTGCCAGCTGGATTGGCACATACTGTATTATTTTCAAACGCTTGGATGAATCCTTGGATTCGGGGCATGTCAGTTGCGTCCCAAATAGAAGAGTGGTTGGCAGGCAGAACATCTGATAGATTTGTCCATATGTAGCCAAGTAATGGATACCGTAGGTGTAATAGAACATATGATATATGTAAGCCCTTTACCTAAGCACACTTAGGTCCTGTCACTTTACTGAATCGCGTACAGCCTGAACTCTTGGTTCGGAAAGACAGGTCCAGCCAGTTTTCCACGAATTCGAGGCTACCTCGCCTCGCGTCCAGAGCTCGCGCATCCGAACCTCGTTTTGCCAAAAACACTGTAACCCGGTAGTGGTAGCCAGAGGCACGAAAGGGCGGAGTGTCGGTGGGTTCTCCAAAACCCCAAAGCTAGGAAGGTCCGGGACCCTAGGCTTCTGGGGGCGTACTCGTTTTTCCGGATTGACCTCAAGTGAAGCGTTCCGAGGGTCGTCACTCTGAGACTTTTGACGGTGTTCCATATTCCCCCCCCCCAGTACCTGCGACCTGTTCCTCCGACCCTTCAGTTAGGTAGTTCCGAGGAGCCCCGAAGACGTCCTATCCAGTCCAGACCAGAACAAGCGCGACGCGCCAAATTGTCGGGAGACGACTCGGGAACGCTAGTCTTTGCTGCAATCATGGTAGTCTTGCGACAATGCTTCTAGAAGCTATGCAAGAACAGAGTAGGCTTCTTTCGTATTAGCGACGTAGATTCTGAAACCCGTACTGATGATACTCAGACGGTATCCACTTCGCGTCGCGCCTACAGCGATCATAGGCAGCATGCGCCTTGTTGACCCAAGAACATGAATACAATCAACAGTTTTGGAGCACGCACTACAACGAATAACGGTTCTGCTCTTACTAACAGAGACGCCTTTACCGGGAACAACCGGAATCTCAACCTGCTCCACTCCAGGTCGCCATCCAAACCGTCCAACGGAAGAATGAGTTCTTCTAGAAATAAAGCCGCATGGAAAATCGATTTTAGCGGCGTCTGGGCGTTCCTGCAGTACCTGTTATCGCTACTCGCGGGAAATCCGCCTCCGCCGCCGCCGGGGCCGCCGGCCACGCCGCGGCTCGTTCTGCTGGCGAATAACTCCTTCGACGCGAAATGCCTCGACGGGAGGTAAGGTAGGGGGAAAAGAAGGGGGAGGGAGGAGGAGAGAAAGGGGGGAGCGGAGGTGGGGGGGATGAAGATAAAAAGGAGGCGGAGGAATCAAAGAGCAGAGAAACGTATTGCTGGCGAATTGTTCGTACGGCGCGAAAAATGCTGGGAAAAATGGGCAGGACACGCGCCGGCGGGTAAAGCAAGAGTTGTTGGCGGACCGCTGGAGCAGGCGCGATTTGTCGCTGGAGCAGGCGCGATTCGTCTTTTGAGGCGCCTCAAAAGTTGCTGGAGCAGGCGCGATTCGTCTTTTGAGGCGCCTCAAAAGTCGCTGGATCAGGCGCGATTCGTTCTTTGAGGCGCCTCAAAAGTCGCTGGAGCAGGCGCGGTCCGTTGTGCAAGCGAGTAGGATTAATGGGGGAGTGGCGAGAGAGCGGTGGGGAGCGGGGTAGGGTGGGGGCTTCCCGAGGAGCGGGGGACTGGGGGCGGGGGAGAGTCCCACCCGCAGCTGGAGGAGAGTAGAAGGATCAGACGCGGGTCGCTGTGCAAGCTCGTAATAATTGTCGGGGGTGGGGAGGGATGAGGGTGGGAAGGGAGGAGGGTGTGGAGGGAGGGGAGTGTGGAGCGGGTTCGGAGAGGGCGGCCTGGGAGGAGCGGAACGCTGCTGCAGGCGTTGCTCGTTCTGCAAGACAGGAGGGTGGGGAGAGAGGAGGGTGGGGAGAGAGGTGGTGGGGAGAGAGGTGGTGGGGAGAGAGGTGGTGGGGAGAGAGGTGGTGGGGAGAGAGGTGGTGGGGAGAGAAGGGGGTGATCTGTCCGAGAAAGGAGGTTGCTGTGTTCTAACCCCCTTTTCCCCACTCCCCCTTTTCTCCGTCCCCCCCCATCCACACCCCCTATAAACCCGCCCAGCCCCCCAGGGTACTATTTCCGGGCGGGCACGGGGGGCGGCAAGAACATGTGGCACATCTACCTGCCGGGCGGCGCGTGGTGTGGCACTGCTGCCCAGTGCGTGGCGAGGAGCAAGACGCTTTTCGGGACCAGCACGCTGTATCCTACCGACCCTGCACCCAACGCGGTATGCTGCTCTCTCCCCCTTAACTCCACCTCCCCCCCCCCCACAACCCCCCTCCCCCCTCCTCCCCCCCTCAACCTCCCCTCCCCCTTCTCCCTGGTATGCGTGTGTGTGTGTGTGTGTGTGTGTGTGTGTGTGTGTGTGTGTGTGTGTGTGTGTGTGTGTGTGTGTGTGTGTGTGCGTGTGTGTGTGTGTGTTGTCCCCCAGCTATTTTTGGGGCTCACGTGAAATCTGGTGCAGAACTCTGTGATGCCTCGTTTTAGCCTTGGCTCATGGCTAGAAGGGCAGCAGTATACTGGGGAAACGCTTAAGCAGAGGTGCAGAACTCTGTGATGCCTCGTTTTAGCCTTTTATTCTTCTCCCCCCCTTCCCCCCCCCCCCCTTCCCTCCCCCCCTCCCCTCCCCCATTCCCCCTCCCCCATTCGCCCTCCCCCATCCCCCGTGCAGGCTCTCCGTCCCCCTTTCAACGGCATTCTCAGCAGCAACAGCACCATCAACCCGCCTTTCTACAACTGGAACCTCGTTCGTCTCATCTACTGCGACGGTGGCGGCTACTCGGGCACGGCAGGGAGGCTTGAGGTTGACAGCAACGGCACGGCGATTTACCTGGATGGGTGGAGCATCGTTCAAGCGGTGATTGAAGGTGCGTTTTGCTATGTCACATGAGTGAGCTTGAGCAAGTATGTGGGTGAACAGTGGCAGTGGCTATGTCGGCATGGCAGGGAGGGTGGAGGTTGGGAGCAACAATGGCACGGCGATTTACCTGGATGGATGGAACATGGAACATCGTTCAAGCGGTGATAGAGGGTGAGTGAGAGGGGAAGGAACCTTGTTTGTCTCATCGCATGATGCGGTGGTTATTAGAGAGAGTGGTTATGAACTGTGAGAGGGGTTATGAACTGTGAGAGTGACAGTTTGTGGGGCAGGATGAGAGTGGGAAAAAGGAGAATAAGATCTCCTCACTTCGTTATCTCCTTCCTCCTCCCTCCCTCCCACATCCCCCTTTTTTGTTTCTCCCTTTTTTCTCCTCTTTCCACCTTTTCCCCTTGACCCTTCGCCCAAAACGCAATCAGATTTGCAATCTAAGCGGGGAATCAAATCGGCATCGCAGATTCTCCTGTCGGGCAGCTCAGCGGGCGGCCAAGCAGTCGTGGCTCTCTGCGATCGCATCGCTGCCGCCTTCCCCTGGGCGCCAACCAAATGCATCTCCGACTCGGGCTTCTTTATTGGTAAGTTTTCACTGGTGAGGCTGCTGGTTTTTTTTTTTTTTTTTTTTTTTTTTTTTTTTTTTGTTACAGTGCGTGCGAATTTACTTCTACAAAGTGCATTCTTTCAACTTACCCTTGCAGACTCCAAGGACCGAGCGGGGGTGTGCACATGGCGCACCGCTGTAAACTAGTGCTCTGCACAAGCTGAGAATGCCTCCCCTCCTTCCGTCCCCCCTATCTTCTCCCTCACCCAACCTTTCCAGATTCTAAGGATAGAGTTGGCGGGTACACGTGGCGCAGCGCTGTGAAGAGCATTGATGCCCTGCACAAGCCGAGACAACTCTTGCTCTTTTCCCACATCACTTCTCTCCCCGTCCCCTCCCTCCCTCCCCCACTACCCTTTCAGACTCCAAGGACCGAGTGGGCGGGTACTCGTGGCACAGCGCTGTGACGAGCATTGCTGCGCTGTGACGAGCATTGCTGCGCTGTGACGAGCATTGCTGCGCTGCACAAGCCGACACAACATTTCCGCCTTTCCCCTTGCCTCACTGACTCCTCCTCCTTGTTTCCCCCCTTTCCCCCTCCCCTCCCCTCCCTCCCCCACTACCCTTGATCAGACTCCAAGGACCGAGTGGGTGGGTACACGTGGCGCAATGCTGTGAATTATTCTCTTCCTCCTTCCCTCCCCACCTGCTCTCCTCTCCCCCCACTACCCTCGATCAGACTCTAAGGATCGCGTGGGTGGGTACACGTGGCGCAATGGAATGAAGAGCATTGCTGCTCTGCACAAGCCGAGAAGACATTTCCTCTTTACCCCTTTCCCCCCTGACTCCTCCCTCCCGTCCTGCTCCCAACCCCTCCTCTACCTTTCAGACTCCAAGGATAGAGTGGGTGGGTACACGTGGCGCAACGGTGTGAAGAGCATTGTTGCTATGCACAAGCCGAGCTGGCCTGCTTGTCAAGACGGTGAGATGTGTGATGCATTGCTGTTAGAGATGCGCGGATATCGGTTACATTGTTACCACGTGGGGCAACGGTGCGAAGAGCATTGCTGCTCTGCACAAACAAACCCAGCTTGGCTGGCTTGCCAAGATGGTGAGATGCGATGGGTAGCTGCTAGAGATGCTTGGAGATGGTGAGGGAATCAACGGTCTGATGTTTTGAGTCGACTCAAAAGTCGTAGCTGCTAGAGATGCCTGGAGATGGTGAGGGAATCGACGGTCTGATATTTATGGAAGCATGTCAATACGAATGAATTCCATGCATGCTCATTACCACTTAGAAACACACCCACATGGGTTGCCAAAAGGACCCCAAGTCATCCCTCATAACCTCCCCTTCCCTTCCACCACCCACCCCCTTCCCTCATTTCTTTCTGGATTGCTGCTGTCCCCAGTTTTCAGGCCTCTCTATGCAATGCCCAATTTCCTTTTCCACCCTTTAACCCTTCTTCATTTCCCCCAGGCTTACCAGAAAATGACCAATGGAAGTGCTTTTTCCCACAGTACTCTCTCCAAGTCGTTACAACCCCCATATTTATGTTCCACGCGTTTTTCGACATTACAGCCGCCCAAATTGGCGGGCTGTTACCGTGGAACAGTACCTATGCCTGGGCGTGCTTAGGTGAAGTTATTCGGATAAAGGATGTAACGGGGATTATACAGAGAAAGGCGTGGAGCAAGATACAGTGGAAGACGAACTACTGTACAGCCGGCGAGCGAGATGCGTTGTTTGTTGCGGCATCTATTCTTAACGACAAGTTGGACAGCTTTATAGAAAACGGGGATACTGTAGTTGCGTTTGTGCCAGCTGGATTGGCACATACAGTATTGTTTTTAAACACTTGGATGAATCCGTGGATACGGGGCATGTCAGTAGGGTCTTATATACAAGAGTGGTTGGCAGGTAGAACATCAGATAGATTTGTTTGTATGTAGCCAAGTAATGGATAGTGCAGTTTTATTGGACAGTTCATTTATGTAGGCGATATGTGGTTGGGCGCACCAGAGGAACCAAATATGAATATTTTAAAAAGTGTAACTCTTTTCAAAATTTCGTATTTTGAAAGCGAAGCAGTCTGTAATGTAGGAGTGGGCAGCGACCAGGCCTTCAGATATCAGTGTAAAACACGCTGATTGTGCTGATTTTGTAGCTCAGATTCTCGTTTTCCCTGAAAATTCAGCATATTGCTTCAAATTTGCACTGAAATTTCAGTATAACATATCTTACCTCGCCACACTGACCATTTTCCGTGTTGCTGTACAAGTAACACTGACGAATCAGTGTAGTGTCGTGAGTCACACTGAAACGGACTAGACCGATTCGGGGTGGTACGTGTGTGTACAGTCTGTACCTGGCCCGAGATTCACGAGACCCCACTAGCAGGCCTCTCGTTATCAGGGTAAAATACCCTTTTTGCACTGACTGGCGGCCGCTTTTTTTCAGTTACCCTTTCACAGGCAGGGTAGTGGATTTTTTACCCTAGGCCAGAAAGTGTAAGATTTTCAATACCCTTTAAAAAACAGCATTAGGAACACATTACTCTGACTGTACAGGGTACAATCCCAGCTATACTGGTACCGAGTGCTCCGTAGCGAGACGAAACACTATATAGGTCCCTGCAAAACGATATTACTAGTGATGATTGAACTCACGACATTACAGATCCAACGCGCAATTGAACCAGCTGAACTACTAGCCATTGATCTTTGGTGCTTCGGTTTTTTGGTGGTCAAAGATTTTGAAGGATACCCTGCCCAAACAGACTAACTGTTTTTTTACCCTGCATTTGTCTCAGAATCCCAATCACTAGACCATTGGGATAAAAGGGCTTGTTTCAGTAGCGGGTCAGTGCGCCCATAACCCCCCAGGCAAACGTGCCTGTAACCCTTCCCTAGGATCGATCGGGGATCACCAGTGGACCTCTGACACCCCCCCGCACTGGGATGCCCGAAGTGCATACACCGGGATTCGAACCCGAGACCTTCGCTCTGGATACCATCTCAGAATCCCAACCACTAGACCATTGGGATAAAAGGGCTTGTTTCAGTAGCGGGTCAGTGCGCCCATAACCCCCCAGGCAAACGTGCCTGTAACCCTTCCCTAGGATCGATCGGGGATCACCAGTGGACCTCTGACAATTTGTCAGGGAAACAAAAATTTTACCCTTCGCATCAGGGTTGACTATACCTAGAACCCTGATTACTAAGGGTGGCCCAAAACGAATCTGAAGACCTGCCCACTAGGTTGTACCTGGCCCGGGATTCGCGAGACCTCACTCACACACTTAACGATGCATGCGCTGTACAGATCGCGTGCCGACGTGTTCTGCATCGCTGGAAGGAGCTCTCACAGCGACAAAATTTGAACGGGAAATTCAACTTTGTATTTCTTTTGTACACTTATGGTTCAGTTTACTTATAAAGTTTACACTGGCAAAATCAGTATAAAGAAAACCATGAACGCTGATTTGGACACCTGGGCGATCGGGGCACGCTGATCCATCAGCATACCCTCAAACCAATTTGAGGGCCTGGCAGCGAGGAACCGCGCTAAACACTCGTTTTGGAGTACAAAACGTGGGCTGGAGGTCGTTTCCCTCCACCCACGTCTCTCATTTTCAAACGGTTTAGCCGATTTTCCCGTCCACCCACCCCTTGAACTGTGTTAGCACATTAGTCTGATAGGCTGCTTGGATTTCAAATTGTACTAAACCCATTTGAAATGAGATGATGCCATTGCTGCATGAAAGAAAACAAGTTTTCTAAATGGGGCGTCACTATGTCAGTCTTGCATGAGACATGCAGGGGCATCCATCATCTTGATGAATTGATGCATTGTGCATGTTGAACAGCAAAGAATTGGCAGTGTAGAGATACTACCAGTCAATCTACAGGTACCTTAAATTGCTCAAAATCGCAATTCAACCCTCTCTTAATCTTGCAGGTTGAAGAAGAGGCCAACTCTACTTGGTTAAATTTTGTACACAACATCATTAGGTAACCATAAACAATGGACTGCCTTAATCCTGATATGGTCTTATAATCGAAGGCTAAACCATGTGAAGATGTCTGTATCAGGTCCATCGGAGGGGCCTGATGTGACTTTTGATAAAGTTATCTCAATCTTATCTTTGTGCACATTGTGACAGCACAGGTTCGGCTGGATCTCCCCATAAAGACTGCAGGCCAAACCAATGGGATGTAAGGGACACAAGAACAAACAGGTAGGTATTGACTCAAACATTCATTAACCATTCAGAAGCTGCCAACAAATGCAAGACTACTGGTCATCATAAGGTATGTGCACACAAAGCGATGAAACATTTCCAGACAAGCAGAAAGACATAAATACCTGTCAAGTGCTAGTCGGTAGCATAGACTATCGGGAAGGCCCCTTATTAACAAGCAGAAAGAGCTACTAGTGAACGAAGATGTTATGTACGAGGGGGGAAAGGCGTGGACTCCTGGAAAAGGAATGTACACTCTGCAAGGAAGAGCAGAGAGGATGGGTCAAAGACGAGAACGTAGAAGGGGAATGTTAAGAAACGAAGGCATGCATACGCAACAACCTACCATTCGCGTAAAAGTAACCAACTTACCTAACACAGTAATCCTCGTTAACCCAACAAAAGTCCTCAATGTCGACCATCGTTAAATGTGCACGGTCAGGCAGAACAGCCTCATGCGATCCCTGTAGAGGCGGAAGCGGATTCTCAGAAGGCCCCCCTGAACACTCAAATGAATCGTACGCAGCGATTCCATGCTCGACTGGAGAATCTAGCTGCGGCGATGTTAACTCAAATCTCCCAGACGATTCAAGCCTGTCAGAAGGATCGTAGCCTACGGAAGTGGAGAATCGTCCAGAGGAGTCGAACCTGCCTGAAGAATTCAATCCGGAAGGTTCTAAGCCAGGCATTATTTGCCGAGACTGGGCCAATGGGAAGGTGGACATTTCCGATGATGCTGGGAGCATGTGAGAATCTTTTAATCCAGCCTCATCAAAAAGGGAATGCGAGGAAAAGCTGTCCTCGGTTGGAAGATGCGGATGGCAAGAGGGTAAGATGTGCTGCTGCTGAAAATGGAGCTGATTCTGCAGCTGCTGCTGCTGCAGCAGTAGCTGCTGTTGCAGCTGCAACTGCTGCGGATGAGCTAGTGGCTGATATGGCTGGTTCGTGGAGTGCATTAATTCCAACACATGCTGCAGCGACTGCTGTTGCGGCTCCTGCTTCACCTGCTGCTGTTGCTGAAAACGCCTTAAAGTTGGACCCTCAAAGACAGACCTCTCGTACAAGGAACTACAACCGTCGCTGAAGAAGCGTGACGCTGGCCAGACTTCGTCCATTACAAGCACCACCTGAGACAATAATAAGGTAAGAAGGTCAAAACGGTAACCCTGCACGATGCGTTAAGAAAAAATAATGAAAAAGGTTGAACAGATGACGACGACAATTCACGAAGAGGGATGGGAACACAGAGACAAAGAAACGGCGATACTAGAGAAAAAACAGCGCCCGGGGATCGTCGAACGTTAAAACACGGCATACCGTACCTCTAAGGTCTAAAAGGATCTTGCTTCTTTCCAGATTAACAACGCTCCGCTCAAATGCAACTGCGTCTAAGGCCACCTTCAAAATAAGATGCAGCGTTGAAACCCAACCTCAACACAAACAATTATCGCAATGCCCTAGCTGACAACATAACCCTCGCGTTGAAGTGTCTGGAACGGCAAGTCACGTAATACTAGGCAGCGGTCCGCAAAATCAGACGAAAGCAAGGTGATCCAGACGGCCTGGAATCTGAAGCCAAGTTCATGAGAAGAACCTCTCTGGGTCTGAGTGAAAGCTCATGTGGAGCTCTCCATATGGAGGAAATATTGTTGCTGCTGGTGTTGATTGCAGCAATCCTGCTCTCTTCCACCAACCCTATGCAGCGTATCAGCAACATATCCACCTTTCGCTTTTAAACCGAAACCCTACACAAATGTAATGAAAAGCAAGGAAACGCATTCCACCGTATTGAGGGACAGAGCGACACCTCCTGAGGTTTTGCAGGTTGTGCAAATCGAGGGAGAGAGTTTGCCAAAACCAGCCCCCACCACCTCGACTCGAGGTTAGTCGTGTCGATGGCCAGCTGGGCGGCAGGAGTAAAAGCTGGGCAGGATGGCAGACCTGTTGCTAGATTCAAGCTTCAAACCCTAGATGTCGGGGTCCAGTTTTTTGCCCACGTGGCTGACAAATCGTCAAGAACCGCGTTATTGATTGGCTGTTATTCTTCTGACGGCTATTCTATTGCTCGTGGTATCTGTTACTGTACCATCACTTTTTCCAATGAAGGCCTGTTATTGGTCGTTATGACAGACAAAACTATCATCGCACATCGTCGCAAATCTGTAACATGGTTCGCTACTGTAATGGGATCAACCTTCGCTGAACGGTGAAGGAATGAGAAGTCATCTGTTGAGGGACCTGTTTTGAAACATATCCTTCAAAATCTATATATTATCAAGAAATTCAGCTAGAATGAACCAACCTCTATCTTATACCGCGGTAAAGCAACAGTGAAACAACCTTCCTAGCATGATGGAAGAAACCTCGCTGATGATACGAATCTCCATTGCTTTTGCCACAGCCGCATCTGGCCGTCAATCCAGTTTCAGCTGATCCACACCGTCCGGCAGTTCATTAAACAGCTAGCTGGTCGTTTTCTCCCTCTTGGGTCGAACTTACATCGTAAATCGACCCGCCGATTGCCCAGAATTCCTTGCTTCGGTTCAGGATCGGTTTCCATGTCGGCAAATCCAGAGGAGAGGTATGAGGGTGACTCACCCTCATGCCGTCCCTCCTCCTCCTCGGAGGAGGAGATTATTGGAGGAGGCGTGTGGGGGGTGGATCTGGGTGTCGACGTGGAGGAGGCGCATCGCGCGGCGTGCGCGGCGGGGAATTCGACTTACATCGACCCTGAAACAGGTGAGAGACTCACCTGTTTCAATCTCCCGTTCTATTTCGCTCTATACTGCCTGTCCCATGTCCCATGTTTGGTGTTTTATATTCCGTCCTGCTCCGTGCCCCGTGCCCCGTGCCCTCTTCTCCCCTGACAGGCTATTCAGTCTTCACGGCGCCGGCTCTCCTGAAGCCCGGCCGCTGCTGCGGCAATAAGTGCAGGTGCGCGTGAATCTGATCATGTCTGAATTTCTGTTCCAGCAAGTGCAGGTTTGGTTGGGTCTGATTCGGTGTAATCATGTGCTGCAGCGACTGCTTTCCCATCATCTAAGGACCCCCTTCCACCTTTCCTTCCCCCCCCTCCCTCCCCCAGGCATTGTCCACTTTGGTCACTACGCTGTGAGGGCCAACGTCTTTACCTCCCCCTTTCCCCCCTCCCTTTTCCCCCCTTTTTTGCCCCCGTTCCACCTGTCCCTCGCCCTCTGCTCTCCCTTTGGGCTGCAGGCACTGCCACTTAGGTCACTACGCTGTGAGATCCAACGCCCTCATCCCCCCTTCCCTCCCTTTTCCCCCCTTTTTTTCCCCCCGTTCGCCCTCTGCTCTCCCTTTGGGCTGCAGGCACTGCCACTTAGGTCACTACGCTGTGAGATCCAACGCCCTCATCCCCCCTTCCCTCCCTTTTCCCCCCTTTTTTCCCCCCGTTCGCCCTCTGCTCTCCCTTTGGGCTGCAGGCACTGCCACTTAGGTCACTACGCTGTGAGATCCAACGCCCTCATCCCCCCTTCCCTCCCTTTTCCCCCTTTTTTTCCCCCCGTTCGCCCTCTGCTCTCCCTTTGGGCTCCAGGCACTGCCCCTTTGGTCACTACGCTGTGAAGACCAATGCCTTCATGTCACGAACCAACTCCCTAGCTGTGAGTCGACTGTTACTGTGGTTACCTGGTAACATCAATTTGGTTACTATGCTGTGAGGACCAATGCCTTCATGTAACTGAGCATCTCCCTCACCGTGAGTTGGCCATGCACGGTGGTTACCTGGTAACCGTCCTAGCGTTCCTCTCGCTCACCTGGTAGTGTTCGTCTCAATCCACTCACTATACTGTGCATTCACCCCCCAACGCATTCGTGAAACGAGAGGTGACCGCTCACCACCAAAACCGCCCCTCTAGTGATTGAAAGGAGGGGTGACCAGTGACCAGTGACCAGTGACCTGTGACCAGTGACCAGTGACCAGTGACCAGTGACCTGTGACCAGTGACCAGTGACCAGTGACCAGTGACCAGTGACCAGTGACCAGTGACCTGTGACCAGTGACCAGTGACCAGTGACCAGTGACCAGTGACCAGTGACCTGTGACCAGTGACCAGTGACCTGTGACCAGTGACCAGTGACCTGTGACCAGTGACCTGTGACCAGTGACCAGTGACCTGTGACCAGTGACCAGTGACCAGTGACCTGTGACCAGTGACCAGTGACCAGTGACCAGTGACCAGTGACCAGTGACCAGTGACCAGTGACCAGTGACCAGTGACCAGTGACCAGTGACCTGTGACCAGTGACCTGTGACCAGTGACCTGTGACCAGTGACCAGTGACCAGTGACCAGTGACCAGTGACCTGTGACCAGTGACCAGTGACCAGTGACCTGTGACCTGTGACCTGTGACCAGTGACCAGTGACCAGTGACCAGTGACCAGTGACCAGTGACCTGTGACCTGTGACCAGTGACCTGTGACCACCACCCTTTCGCTACTCTCACCCTACCTCCCCTCCCACAGGAGCCAATGCTGCTGTCTCCCACCCACCAAGGGCCCTGCTCCCTCCTCGCCTGCACTCGTTCATGCAACAACCTGTCTCTCACTGTCATTTGCACCCTCTGTCACCATGCATCACCCCTCACAACCCCTCCTCCCACAGGAGCCCATGCTGCTCGCTCCCACCAAGGGCCCTGCTCCCTCCTCGCCTGCACTCGCCCTGCTCTGGGACGGCAGCCTGCCCGCTCTCCTCGCTCTGCAGGTGAGATCATGTCTGTGGTGTGCAGTGCAGGTAATGTCACCTGTCGCCTTGCAGGTGATAGGTGTGGCTCTCGCACTACTGTGTTGAACCCTGCTCTGATCCCTCCCTCCTCGCCTGCACTCGCCCTGCTCTGGGACAGCAGCCTGCTAGCCCTCCTCGCCCTGCAGGTAATAATAGATGTGAGGTAATGGGATGGGTGCAATTCTTGCCCTACTGTGTTGACTCACACAGCGACAAGGTGACTTGACTCGCCTGCACTCGCCCTGCTCTGGGATGGCAGCCTGCTGGCCCTCCTCGCCCTGCAGCTATTGATAGGGGGGGGTGTTAGAAATATATATTGTAGCATGCCAACACTTGTGACTGTACACCAATTGTGGTGTACAGTTGGGTTGGGACTACACCCAACATTGGGTGTAGTCTTGCATTGTGGGTTGCCAATCCACCCAATTGTGGTGGAGCCCCCAAATGCAACCCCCTTGGCTTAAGGTTGCCTCACTCCCCAAGGTGAGGCCAACCCAACCTATGGTCAACTCCACTCTTCTCTTCCAAGCTTCTCTTCCATCCATGTATGCTAGTTCCTACTCTAATCAAGTTATTGGTTTCAATTCCAACTCTCACAGGGGGTCGGGTGATCCGAGTGTAATGAGTCGTGCTTTGAGTCGACTCAAAACACGACCCTGCAGCTATTGATAGGGGGGGGTCGGGTGATCCGAGTGTAATGAGTCGTGCTTTGAGTCGACTCAAATCACGACCCTGCAGCTATTGATAGGGGGGGGTCGGGTGATCCGAGTGTAATGAGTCGTGCTTTGAGTCGACTCAAATCACGACCCTGCAGCTATTGATAGGGGGGGGTCGGGTGATCCGAGTGTAATGATTCGTGCTTTGAGTCGACTCAAAACACGACCCTGCAGCTATTGATAGAGAGGTCGGTTGATCTTCATTCACAAGTCCTGTTTTGTTCATATTTTGAGGCTTCTCAAAACCTTTTCGCTGCAGGTTGTTTTTTTCAGTTGGCTTTGCTGCAATTGAATCCGCTTCTAGACAACAGATATGTTGAGCTCTCGGCCAGGTTGACTTTTGAGTCAACTCAAAAGTCAACTCTTTCTAGTTGGCTTGCTGTGATCAGATCTGCCCCTAAACAAAGATATGTTAAGCTCTCGGTCAGTTACTCGCAATTTAGTTTGTACTATTCAGTCCTCCTTGCACAACAGCTTTTTTCTTTTTTCCCCTTTTCTGTCTTCCTTTGGTTTTTTTTTTTTTTTTTTCACCCGCCCACAGGCACTCACGGACCAATCAAAATCTGCCACGTCAGTCGGCTCGTCAACACAGAATGTCGTGCTGACTACCCTCTTTGACCCGCACTCAGGGCAAATCCTGTCCCCCACCAGCGTTCCTGACGTAGCCGCTGCAACCGGTGTAGCCACCACAACTGCTGTAGCCACTACAACTGATGTAGCTGCTAAAGCCGATGTACTGCCAGCAACCGCTTCTCGGGCAGCTGAGAATCTTTGCTGCCTGCCCGTCTCGATCCGGGCAGTGATGGACCAATCGCTGGCGCTGAAACGACCACTGCTCGCAGTCCCTGTAGAGGGATGCGAGGCTCTCTGTAATGGGGATAGGATTGAGGTGAGGGGAGGCGAGGGGCAGGAGAAGGGGCAGGGAAAAGGGCAGGAGGAAGGGCGGGAGAAGGGGCAGGAGGAGGGGGAGGAGAAACCACAAGGGGTGCATGATAGTGGGGGTGGAAATGCAAAAAGGTCAGGATGTGGGTGTCAGGTAGGAGCAGGAGCAGAAGTGGGAGCAGGAAGAGGAGAAGGAGGAGCAGCAGCAGCAGCAGCACGAGTAGAGTTTGAGGAGATGAGTGCAGGAACAATCAGTGTGGATGGATTCACGCCCAGCTGGGCGTCTGTGCTTCAGTCTGCTCTTCACTCCTCGCTCAAGTCCCAGGTGAGTCCTGATCTGAGTCAGCACTTAATTCAGTCGCTTCAGCATGGTGGGCATTCTCAGGTAATGTTGTCAGTGGCCTTAGGCATCTGCAATCCATTTTGTTTGAGGTTGATTTTCAGAATTCTCAAACAAAACAGAATTCTCAAACAAAAAAGGAATTCTCAAAATCATTCTCAGGTAATGCTGTCAGTGGCCTTAGGCATCTGCAATCCCCTGCCCTATGCTCCCTCCTCCGTGCCCCTCTGCTTCAACAATTAGATTCTTCTGTCAACTCTCTCTCAGGTAGTGCTGTCAGTGGCCTTATGCCTCTTGTGTTCAACCCCACCCTGGCCCCTTCACGTTGCATGGAGTTTTTGAAAATTCTCAAAAACTCCATGCCTCTTGTGACGACTTTTGAGGCGCCTCAAAAACCCTTCACGTTGCATGGAGTTTTTGAGAATTCTCAAAAACTCCATGCCTCTTGTGTTCACCCCCACCCTGCCCTCTTCCCCCTTATCCCGTTGTCCCTCTCCTCCTCCTTGCCTTGCTCCCTGTGCAGGTGCATTTGGTTGTTTCTTCTCTCGCTCTCCCCTTATCAACCCCTGCCTTACCCACTGCTGCAGGGTGTTATTGAGAACTCTCAAAAACACCCTGCTTTACCCACTGCTGCTTCATCCACTCCCGCTGCTTCAGCCAGTGCCCCTCTGCTTTCTGCCCCCTGCCCTCTTCCACCTTATCCCGTTGCCCCTCTCCTCCTCCTCGCCCTCGCTTCCCTTGCAGGTGCATTCGGTCGTGTCTCCCCTCCCTCTCCCTCTCTCAACCGCTGCTTCACCCAGTGCTGCTGCCACTGCCACTGCTGCTGCTGCTACTCCTGCCACTCCTGCTGTTGCCACTTCTGCTGCTGCTATGCCTCCTGTCGCTGCCACTGGGTCAGAGAGTGCAGCAGCAGCAGCAGCAGCAGCAGCAGCATTCCCAGTGAAGCCAGTGTTCGAGCACCAGTCACTCATCAGAACGGCACCACTCGCACGAGGCTCCACTCTCCTGCAACCATCCCAGGTACGCCTTCCAAGTGTATGAAGATTGGTTAGAGACGTCTCAAAACCAGGTACGCCTTCCAAGGCTCCGCCAGTCCTGACCCCATCCCCTGGACCCAGCAGCCATTGCTTTGTCTCAGAAAGTCAAGGCACCACCACTGCCACTGGGCTCGTCTCCCCTGACACCATCTGGGTTACTCTACTTCCTCTCTGCCACACTTCCTCTCTGCCACACTTCCTCTCTTCCACACTTCCTCTCTGCCACACTTCCTCTCTTCCACACTTCCTATGAAGCAGGCACTTGCCAGTCACCTGATCCCTCCCTCCCTCTCTCCTCCTTTCTAACCCAACCAGTTCCGAGTTCTCATGCACGAAGCAGGCACATGGCAGCATGTTAGCACAGAGGAGGCAGTTTCCCGGCTTTCTTCCTCTTCCTCTCCTCCATTATCTCGCCCGTCATTGGCTGGAGCTGCTCCTACTGCTCGCCTGCCATTCGTTCCCACGTTTGTGGAGATCCAAGCGCCTGCGCCTGCCAGCCGGTTCAGCAGGTGGATTGCAGCGATTCGATATGTGATGCATGCGGTGTATGTTACTGCATTGTCGTTACACCGTGCTGTTATCTTGTCCACTGTTGAGGAGGACGCATCCGTTTGCAAATGATGTCCGGATCTGCTTTCATGGTTTTTGCTTCCCCTTGTGTGTCTGTTGGTGTTCAGGTTGAGATGATGCGAGGCGGCCATCAAGAATCAGAGTGTATAATCAGGGTGGTTCTAAGTAAAGGCATAGATATCTATCAAGCTTGCTTGCTTAGTTTGCAAAGTTCAAGGACTTACAGAGCAACAATCTCAGGGCTTCGTATAGCTGTAACGCATTGTACTACGTAAGTGCGGTCCCAATAATGTGCTACTTATTAGAGGCTCGCCTGATTGCCGTTTTGCTCCCTTTTGTTACGAGTGCAATTGAGTGAACGAACGAGAATTGCAATTGGTTGTGCCCCCGGTTCTAACTCGATCCTATGGTCATGCGCCCGCTGAGGTGGCAGCCCTTGCGGTAAGTCATCCGGAAAGATACCCGGGAACCGTTTCAGTAGTGTCTGTAGTTCGGGTGGTACGGCTGCCAATAGTTTCTGCAAATCACTCGGCCGGTCCTCTTTTTCCACTAATGCGATATCCACTGCGTACACGTCAGCTCCAGCAGCGACAGCCCGTTTCATCGTGATGGCGTTGACCTGGACCGTCGAAGACTCGGGTGGCTGCCAGCGAGGTAGGACGACCCAGTTACCACTATTTCGCACTGTGCAGCTACCCGTCGTCCAGTCAATTCGCGGGTTATACCGTCGCAGCCAATCACGTCCCAGTAAAATGTCGTGCCCATCCAGTGTCGTTGCGAGCATTTCCTGTGTAAACCCGAAGTTTCATCCGCAGCGGACCTTTACTCTCTCCACCTTTTCCCGTATAGCCAGTGGCGTGCCGTCGACTAAGCGTGCATCTATCTCAGGTAAGCATCGGTTAAGTGTTAACTGTAATTTCCGTGCGGTTGCGGTATTAACTAAGCTGTGACTTGCTCCTCCGTCAATAAAAATCTTCACTGCTGCTCCCTGTATTTTCCCGTAGATTAGTACCGGGCAATCCGTCGCTGTACCCTCCTTATTCATCCGAGCCCGATCGATGGCATGAATCGGTACTGTGACTCGGTGAGGGTCGGTGTGGTTGGGCGAGCAGGCAGTCTCGTCAGTAGTTGGCCCAGCTTCTACTGACTGCTGGCGTTTCCCTGCCTCTGAGACTCCCTCCCCTGCTCTGCTCCTCGGCGCCTCAGCTCCTCTGGGCATTCGCTCTTGCGATGGCCCGGCCTGTTGCAAGCAAAGCAGCGCCCCTTAAACGGTGCGGCAGCTGCATTCGTTGCGACGGCGTGTACAGTGGCGTGCTCGGTCGGTCCCCGAGGACGATGTCCGTAATAGGACCCCGGTCTCGGTCGGCGTAGAATGTCGATCTTCTCGGCGAGCGCGAGAATCTCGTTGAAGTTAGAGAGTCCGCGCAGCATTATCTCGTGCGAGATGTCCGGCTTCAGCCCTCTGACGTAACGGTCCACCCGCTCCGCTTCGTGCATGTAGCCGACCTGCTCGCAAAGTGCGAGAAAACCGCTGATATTGTCTTGAACTGACCCGAGCTGGCGCCAAGTGCGCAGTTTCTGACACGGCGAAATTGAAGCCGCGATCGACTCAAAACGCGCCCGAAGCCCTGCGCACCACGCATCCCATGTGCTGTATTGGGCGGTCTCGCAGAACGAACTCCAGGTGACAGCTGGACCCGAGGGCCCTTCCTCGTGCGACGGTGGCTCGTAGGCGCGTGGCGACATCACGATGACTCGCCACCAGTCCATGGCGGGGCCCCTTAGCAGTGAAACCGCATACCGGATCTTTGCGGTGTCCGACTTGACGTAATTGGCGTCGAAGAAAACGTTCATCGTGAAGACCCACGATTGAACTGTCGGACCGCCGCGTTGACTTGGGTCGAAGCAGGGCGGGCGTTGCGGCTTGAGCGGCATTGGTGCCATGTTGGGTTGTTCGCCACTTGTCGCCGCAAATTCCACGTGCCGACGGACTTCTCGAGGCTCCCGTGGGCTTGGTGCGATCCTGTTTCCTCCCATGCCAGGCATCGGCTGGGCGACGCCCTCACTGGCTGCGCCTGAGCGTTGTCCCGTGCTGTCGTGTTGTGTTGGTGTGCCGGACGAGATGATGATCGGCTCATCCGAACGTGCAGATGCGTTTGTTGGTGCGTGGGATGTCGTCGGTATGTTCATCGTGGATTCTTGACGGGCTGAGTCACGTTCCGCCGTGAGGGTCGCGATTTCAAGCGCCGAATCCTCCAGTTGACGCACGAGACGATCAAGTTGCTCCTGCGTCAATGTGGCGAGCGTGAAGTCGGCCATGGCGGGGGTGTCGGGTAAGCTCAGCGAGAGCCTCGGTCGTGGCCGTGCGTGCTTGCGAGAGAGCACTACGAGCGGCGGTGCTGTATCGCTGAGAGACGTCTACCCCCCCCAAAAATTGAGATAGTGGGGAAGCGAAGGTGTGGATGCGGTCCGAGATGGGATCGTAGGCTCGAATATCAAGTGTTACGAGTGCAATTGAGTGAACGAACGAGAATTGCACTATCGAAGCAAGAGTACAATGAGCGAAGGCATGAGCGAAGAATATATAGCGAAACTACAGTGGTAACGGTAATGGTCGCGCGACGAGCCTGGGACTGAGGTTGGGAACGTGTCGAAGCGTAGGCCCGGAGCGCGGGTTACCAGCCGAGCCGTGAGGTCGGGATGCGATGTGCGAAAATGGCGGGATGATGAATTATGCGATGGTCGCGAGTGGTAACGGTGCTGACTGAGGTGCTACAGTGATGTACGCGTTGAGCAGAGATGCGAAGTAAGGAAAAGGGAGTTTCCTTACACTACCCCCCCCCTCCTAAAAGGTCCTCCTTACGAAAGCGCGTGGACGTCTTGTCAGAATCCCAACCACTAGACCATTGGGATAAAAGGGCTTGTTTCAGTAGCGGGTCAGTGCGCCCATAACCCTCCAGGCAAACGCGCCTGTAAACCCCCCTAGGATCGATCGGGGATCTCACAGTGTAGCTCTACTGACACCCCCCCACACTGGGAGGCCCAGGACTGAGCACAGTGGCAACGGCCTACATGTGCATACACTGGGATTCGAACCCAAGACCGCTCTGATACCATGTCAGAATCCCAACCACTAGACCATTGGGATAAAAGAGCTTGTTTCAGTAGCGGGTCAGTGCGCCCATAACCCCCCAGGCAGACGCGTCTGTAAACCCCCCTAGGATCGATCGGGGATCTCACAGTGTAGCTCTACTGACACGTCTTTGATGTTTCGGCTGCGTAGATAGTCGGTGACGACAGGGTGGTTTTCAATTCTGTCCAGGGGAACCCAGTTGTCCTCGGTGGGTGTACGATCTTTCCAGCGAATCAGAAACTCAACTTTTCGGGCCCCTCGAGGGTCGCGAACTCTGTGGCTCAAGATTTTGTCGGGGGTGATGACTGGTTCGGTTGGTGGTCGTGACATGCTGGATGGTCGTTGTCGTGGGAGTTGGCTGGTGGATGGTACGTAAGGGCGAAGCAGGCTGATGTGGAATGAGGGGCTGACGTACCAGTCAGCAGGAAGGAGGAGGTGCGCGGTGACGGGTGTGATCATGTGACTGATTCGAAATGGCCCACAGTATCGAGGGCGGAGTTTGGGAGTGATGGGCAGGCGGAGGTTCTGAGTGTCGAGTAAAATGAGGTCGTCGGGCTGATAAGTGACGGGTCTGCGGTGGCGATCGGCGTTGCGTTTAGCGATGATATTTGATTTTTTAATTGCTTCTGCTGCCCTGGTCCGTGCTGCTTGCAAAATCTCGGCGAACTGTTGTGCGCGTGGAACGGGATTGTCGGGGTTTGGTGTCATGGGTACTTTTGGGTTCTGTCCGTAATTCAAGTAGAATGGCGACTGTTGGGTCGTGGCAGATGGCGCGTTGTTGTATGCGAACTCGATGAGAGGCAGCTGCTGCTCCCACGTGTTTGGATCGTCGCACGTGGCTCGAATGAGTTGCTCCAT